CCCGAGTAGCTGGGACTACAGGCGCCCGCCACTACACCCGGCTAATTTTTTGTATTTTTAGTAGAGACGGGGTTTCACCCTGTTAGCCAGGATGGTCTAGATCTCTTGACCTTGTCACCTGCCCGCCTCAACCTCCCAAAGTGCTGGGATTACAGGCGTGAGCCACAGCGCCCGGCCCAAAGGGGCCTATATTTTTAACAGTTGAAAAGACTACTTTAGTAACATAGTAAGTATCCTGAGACAGGTTTCAGTAGTTTTGAGTTAGTATGTATTGTTGTTACCCGAAAGGGGTCCACATCCAGACCCCAAGAGAGGGTTCTCGGATCTCAAACAAGAAAGAATTCAGGACAAGTCCGCAGTGCAGAGTGAAAGCAAGTTTGAGAAAGTAAAGAAATAAAACAATGGCTACTCCATAGGCAGAGCAGACATGAGGGCTGCTGGTTGCCCATTTTTATGGTTATTTTTTGATGATATGCTAAACAAGGTGTGGATTATTCATGCTCCCCCTTTTTAGACCATATAGGGTAACTTTCTGACGTTGCCATGGCATGTCAGAACTGTCACGGTGCTGGTGGGAGTATAGCAGTGAGGACGACCACAGGTCACTCTCGTGGCCATTTTGGTTTCGGTGAGTTTTGGCCGGCTCCTTTACTGCAACCTGTTTTAATCAGCAAGGTGTTTATGACCTGTATTTTGTGCTGACCTCCTATCTAATGCTGTGACTTAGAATGCCTAAAAACCACCTGGGAATGCAGCCTAGTAGGTTTCAGCCTCATTTTACCCAGCTCCTGTTTAAGATGGAGTTGCTCTGGTTCACAGGCCTCTGACATTAGGGGCTGTTAATGATATCTGAGACAGAACAAAGACATCGGGAATGTGATCCACACACTTCAGACAGCCTCCTCATTGCATGAAAATGGAGCCAAACAAGCAAAGATCTGGTATGACCTCAGCTTTGCTCCTGGAATCACCCTCTGCCCAGTTCACACATTCCTGGCATGTCTTTCATTCTCTTGGGGAAGAGAGCAAGTGGAGTTGCCAGGTTACTGTTGATGAAGGGCAATTTTTAGAAGCAGAAAGTCAGCATCCTGTGCTGGATGATTCATCTTGCCCTCTGGGGCATGCTCTGGATGTTAAACAGTAACTATTTGTTGGTGATTAATCTGTTGGATTTTGCTCAACCCCTAATTCGAGTGTCCATGATGGATAGATCACTTTTTTCTTTACACTACCTGTCAAGTATAAAATAGATGGATAACATTTCCCTTCCAACTGATTCAGAGAAATATGTTACAATTATTTGGTATTAAACTAAAAACAAAATGAACGCTTACTGAATTAGGTGAAAGCAGAGCTGAACTTTCAGCTTTCTAGATCAACCATTACACTATGAAATTTGCCGCTAAACTCCGAAAGTTTTGGAATATGAGAAACGGGACTCAGAAATGTGTGAGTCCCATTTTTCAGCCTTTTCCTCCTTCTGCTCAGCAGACACTGAGATATAATCCGCAGGCAGTACAGACTCATTCTTCCAAAGGATTTATTATGTAACCTTGTACAAGCCTCAACTTTTCTCATTTATAAAATGGGAAATATATCTTCCTTACCCAATTGTTGAGTGAACTGTGAAACATCCATATGTATTATTGTGTACTAGTACATATATGCTATTTTTGTAGTAAGCCTCCAGAAAATGGAGGCTATATACTGTTTCATTTCTTAAAAGGATACTTTCACTCGGTTCAAAGTTCAAAAGATACAAAGAGTTTATGTTGTATTTCTTGAAATCTTTTCACTTCTGTTCCCAGCCACATAATTTCCCTCCATGATCCATTAGTTTCTTTTGCATCTTGCCAGATATTTTATGTAAGTCTAAAAGTAAACACGTGTATTTCCCCAGTTTAACAATTTTACATAAAATCACACTATTGCTTGTTTTGCCTTTTAAAATAAAAATACATTTTTGAAATTGTTCGTATCAGCACACAAAGAGTTTCCTTTGTTTTTAAACAATTGTGCCTTAATTTAGGCATAGCTGTGCATTTCTGTGTGTCTTTCACAGAGAAAAGCTATTCAGCTTAGTTATCGGTTATTATGCAGTCGTGTTCTAACTTAATTACCAATTCTAACCCTTAACCACTGGATATTCTCATTCATCCATTCAACAAATATTTATCGAGCCCCTACCGCGAGTCAGGCGGTGCCTGGGAATCTGTATTCACAAGAACAAACCGCAGCTCCCCAGTCCACATCTAGCGGGTAGGAAGCTGGGCACCCCCTCCGGCCGGTCCCTCCTCTGCCGCCTGCGAGCCCCAC